GTCATTCCATATTTTCTGCCTTGTTCTCATACACAACATGTCCCCTGCCTGTAGTTGTTTTTGGCCATGTCTACTTATTTATTGTCCATGTGTGTACTTAAAGGGTGCCCAAATTTTTATATATTTTTGTAAACTTTGTGAGACGTTCAGTGGGGTATCTGAGGTATGTTCTGTTGAATTGCTATTCAGGGTGTGACTTTGTCACAAAGGTGGTCATAACTGTTTGTATCAGGACCATTGTCTGGCCAGGCATTGGCATGATTTACCTGGCCATCTCAAGACTGATGCAATCAATAGTTCTAGATGACACCCTTTCACCCCAGGACACCCTTTCACCCCAGGACACCCTTTCACCCCACTCAAACCTCAACATGGATTTAAAAAAAAAATTATTATTATTGTAAAAATTTTCATGTTTTAAAAAAACAATTTTTATAATTCTCTGGAACTTTACCCTGAGAAACTATAAGAAAAGACCGCACTGAAGAATTTTAGAGCCGTAAATATCGGGGAGGGGGGGGGGGGGGGGGGGGGATAAACGTTACCACCAATGCCACACGGCATTGACTTGACATCATGTCAATTAAACTTCCTCAAAGTGGGGAAATGACTCTTAGGGGAGACAGTTACAAGCATGACCAGGGTTCAGTGTTTTTCTGTCTTGGGCTCAGAAGGGGAGATGTGGGCTGAGTGGTGTAGAGAAAGAGCATCCGTGTACAACTCTGCAAGTATTGGGTACTGATCCTCTGTAAATATGTACAATGGGTTCTGATGTTGGGGCAGTAGCTTATCTTTCTCAAAGAAGATTGAACCAACAGTACATCTCATGAGCATAGCATAGGGAACTTTACACAAACCTGCCCTCACGATGAGAGTTCCTTCCCCTCCCATTCATGCTCCGGCCGGTCCTATGTTGTGGGGGGTGTCATGTATTTCTTATTTTTAACGGTTTAACCATTGTCTCTTTTCTCTTGTTGTCACCGCTCACTTGCATGATTATATCCACATAGTTGCCTGAAGGTTCCTGAGGTCAAAACTGGAATGTTTTTGTATTTCTGAGTTCCTTGTTAGTGGCTTCATTTTCTTGGGCAAGCCGTCGCCAAGGAACATTGTAGAAATACAAAACCATCCCAGTTGTGATACTCACAAACAGTCGCGCCTTAACTGCTTCCCCCTGCAACACTTCTTACTTGTACACAGGTGCCTGTGACACCTCAAAGAGACTCAGGATGACAATCTCCCACAAACATTATATACGGTGAGCAAACACCGAACAAAATCATCTCATAATACGCCTACAACATAGAACAGGCCGTTCGACCAGCCAGAGCATAAATGGGAGGGGAAGGAACTCTCATCATGTGGGCAAGTTCATGAAAAGTTCCTAGCGTACAGCCTAACAATTGGTAGTTTAAAATAGTCAACAGTAGGCCTTATAGGACACTGCTATGGCACATATTCTAAAGGAGAACACAAACAAACAGCAAAAGATGGCATACATGGTTCTGGCATACAAACAAATGTAGTCTTGCAGGTGCTACAGAATTCAACCAGTAAATGAACTGAGACTTTCCTCGTCTGACAGTACTGGATCATTTCAAGTGCAATGAGGATGGTTTGTAAATCAGAACCAATTAATCGATCAGCTAGAATCAAATGATCAGTCTTGTCGTCACTTTACTAAATAATTTTGCAATCTCTGTCATTTAGTCCGTCAACCAACAATTCAATCCGTCATTCTGTGTTTAGGTCAATGAATGAATTCACTAACCAGCCAACAAACAGGTCATTCTTTCCAATAATCAGTTTCATATTAATCTATCAATAAACCAATAAATCTATCTGCTATATAATCAGTCTGCTTATTGAGAAACAGTTAGTGAGACAGTCAAACACCTGATCAACCTAACAATCAATCAGTATTTCACTCAGTCAATAAACCAATAAATCTATCTGCTAAATAATCAGTCTGCCATTCTAGCAATCAATCAGCTAGACAGTTAATTAACTAGTAAGCTAAGCAATCAATCAATAAATCAACTAGACCACTTAACAATCAATCAGTCAACTGGATTCAATACACTAATCAGCTTAACAATCAATAATTCAACTAGACAGACAATAAACTATTCAACTTAACAATCATTCAGTCAACTATTCAGCCTAACAATCAGTCAACTGATCAGCCTAATGATCATTCTGTCAACCAACTATTCAGCCTAACAATAAATCAGTCAGCTAGACACACAAATATCACCTATTCAACCTAGCAATCTTTCAGTCAACCAGACAGCCCAACATAAATCAATCACTCTGTCAGTCAGTCTATTTAGCAGTACCCATTCAACCAGCCATAACCTGATGGAGGTCACGTTTAGATATTTCTATGTCCAATTTGACTGGCTTGAAACCTTTCACACATTGGTATGTAGACTGTACACAAAGAAGTATGCAAGGATTGCTGCCAAAATTAACATTATACTTATCACACACACACACTGTCATTCAAATATCACACAGTACTTTCATTCACATATCACACAATACTATCATTCACATATCACACAATACTATCATTCACATATCACACAATACTAGCATTCACATATCACACAATATTAGCATTCACATATCAAACAATACTAGCATTCACATATCAAACAATACTAGCATTCACATATCAAACAATACTAGCATTCACATATCACACAATACTAGCATTCACATATCACACAATACTATCATTCACATATCACACAATACTAGCATTCACATACCACACAATATTAGCATTCACATATCACACAATACTAGCATTCACATATCAAACAATACTAGCATTCACATATCAAACAATACTAGCATTCACATATCAAACAATACTAGCATTCACATATCAAACAATACTAGCATTCACATATCAAACAATGCTAGCATTCACATATCAAACAATGCTAGCATTCACATATCAAACAATGCTAGCATTCACATATCAAACAATGCTAGCATTCACATATCAAACAATGCTAGCATTCACATATCAAACAATACTTGCATTTACATATCAAACAATACTAGCATTCACATATCAAACAATACTAGCATTCACATATCAAACAATACTTGCATTTACATATCAAACAATACTAGCATTCACATACCACACAATATTAGCATTCACATATCACTCAATACCATCATTCACATATCACACAATACTATCATTCACATATCACACAATACTATCATTCACATATCACACAATACTATCATTCACATATCACACAATACTATAGCATTCACATATCACACAATACCATCATTCACATATCACACAATACTAGCATTCACATATCACACAATACTATCATTCACATATCACACAATACCATCATTCACATATCACACAAAACTAGCATTCACATATCACACAATACCATCATTCACATATCACACAATACTAACATTCACATATCACACAATACTATCATTCACATATCACACAATACTATTATTCACATATCACACAATACTAGCATTTATTTATATTACACAATACTAGCATTCATTTATATTACACAATACTATAGCATTCACATATCACTCAATACCATCATTTACATATCACACAATACTAGCACACTAAGATACCATACAAACAACTCTCAGTCTACCATAATGATTATTTTTTCAATATAATCATATTTTTTACATAAATTAAATCTGTCATCACCAGTTTATGGCCAGTGAATGAAATGAAGAAGAGGACGAACAAGAAGTAAACACCATTTAGAAGGCAATGGCAAATTGCTGCATTAAATCCTCATGTGAGTTCGTGAGCCTCAATATTGGAAAAAGGAGACGGAGGGGTTTATAGACCTGCGGTTCCTTAACAAGCATGTCATAAAAGGAGATCAGGTAATGATGGAATGATGTCTTGGGCTAAGTTTACCTGGGTCTAATTATATTACGGCTAGAACCGTCAAGGTTAGCTGGGTATAAATATATTAGGGCTAAAACCATCAAGTTTAGCTGGGTATAAATATTTTACAGCTAGAACCATCAAGTTTAGCTGGGTATAAATATATTAGGGCTAGAACCATCAAGTTGAGCTCAGTCTAAATATATTATGGTTAGAACCATTTATCCACTGTGTCCTGAGGGGCAGGTATACAGAGGTCACTGAAGGTCATCTTGACTTGTCAGTAAAATAAAAAACAATAGAAATGACATCACAGTCAAAGAGAATTTTATCAATATATCTGAAGCCTCATAGACACACACACAGGCACGTACGTGCTCACACACATGGACAGACAAAATGACACATAACAATGGTAAACTGCAATATGAAATTCCACACATCTGTAGTAATAGTTCAGGAATCTGTATTAAAATACATTCTATGATCTCCCACTGTAAGAATCCCCCATTCCATGACTTCCCTGCTAAATGATTTCTCCCACTTTAGAATTCCACCACTGCATGATTTCCTGCTCCAGGAACCTTCCATTCAATATCCCCCCCCCCCTTTTTTTTTCCCAGTATCTCTCACTCCATGACTTCCCTGCTCAGTGATCTCCCACTCGAGGATCTCCTCCCCCCCCCCCCCCCCCCCAAAAAAAAACCTCCATGATCACAGAATGAAAAAGTTCAGTTGCCAGATTGTGTGTGTTTTCATTCCACAACTTGTGGCTTGAAATAAGAAATGTTGAAGAGGAATATATCCACTCCATTATCTGAGAACATGAATGAATATTAATGGAAGTTAATAGAAGTCTGTGTTTGCACTTGCTTCGATATGTGTGAGGGGCCCACATAAATCTGTGAAGGGCTGTCATAAATCTTTGAGGGGCCCACATAAATGTGTAACTGACCCTCCTAAATCTGTGAGGGGTCCACATAAATATGTGAGCCCCGGACCAAGTTAACGGGTGTGTCAAATGGGACTATCACTTCCTGTCCTTGGGTATAAAGCTGGAAAAACGTCGTCCAAAACTTTAAAAGTTACGCCCCGCTAAAAGAGCACCGGTTAGATTTGGACTCTGTGAAAAGATGATAAATAAAAGGAAAGTTTAAGTATTTTAAAACGCTATACAGGTACTGGAAACTAAATTAGCTAAATACAAAATATGATTATGTAACTACGAAAGAAAAAAGAATACAGGCACACATACATGCACGTATGCACATATGCACACACACGCATGCACCCCCCCTCCCCCCCTAACTTCCCCACCGCCACTAAATGTTTAGAGCAGTCTTTATCAAGAAATAAAACATGACAGGACAGGATTCAGTAGTGAAGACAATGACATGCACAATTAATCCACACAGGAACAGGAAGCTGTGCTGAGAAGTGACACAGAAACAAATAAACAGAACAAATATATTACTGTGTCTATATTAGATACAAGAAAGAGGGTCGATGAGAGCTAGAATCTGTCCAACTAAAACCGTGTCGGTCGATGAGAACTAGAATCTGTCCAACTAAAACCGTGTCGGTCGATGAGGGCTAGAATCTGTCAAACTAAAACTGTGTCAGTCGATGAGAGCTAGAATCTGTCCAACTAAAACCGTGTCGGTCGATGAGAGCTAGAATCTGTCCAACTAAAACCGTGTCGGTCGATGAGGGCTAGAATCTGTCAAACTAAAACCGTGTCGGTCGATGAGAGCTAGAATCTGTCCAACTAAAACCGTATCGGTCATATTTTATGAGGACAAATGAATTAAATCTAAAACCACTTTATAAAGAAATGGGTAGTAACGAGTTGGTGAGAGAAAAGAGACAAGTGGAACTGAAGTATTGATGCCACATGAACAGACATGAAATTTATGTAAAAACCATCCACATACTGGGAAGAAAGTGGCATTTATAGACATGGACAAATCTTTTGATAGAGTAGATAGGGACTGTGGGGTTGTCTACAAAATATGGAATTAGCAAACATCTTTTCAAAGTTTGTCAGTTGTATACATAAGTAAAAGTTGTGTATGAACAAAATCAGGTACACAAAAAAAAACCTTTGTAGTAATTTCCAGATTCTTAGTCTTAGTCTTAGTCGAGGTTTTAACTTCACTGCAAATATTACCGTCTGAAGAGAATTGCACTGCGAGGAGTTACAAAGGGATCTGGCCGACGCACAACACTCAGGGTAAAGGTGAGACCGATATACAATCTGACAGTTACTGGTACCATCAGAATTTTAACTTTTCACTTGCTGATGGAGATGGGACGGAGCACTTGTGGGGGTGTCCCGAGTGCTGTGATACCAGTTCTTAATTCAACATTCACCTTCACTGCAATTGGGTCACCCCCAAACTTGTTCTGTTCCTGTGCCAGTGAAAATAAAATGAAATGAAAAAAAAAAAAAAAAACGGGAGGTAAAATATCTAGGGTCAATGTTGACATCAGAGGAAGGATTGTGTAGAGAAATCAACATATGATATGCTAAATTAAATCAGCTCCTGGAATAACACCATTTTTGACATCTAGAAGTTGACCTTTGTCTACCAAGGCAAATATAAACATACTGTAACATTGTAAGAACAGACAAGATGTTTTTTTAAATAAAAGTTGTTGAAGTAACAAGAAGAGATAGCCATAAAAATTAAATAATGGGAAAGAGGCCAGACCTGAAACCAGTCTCATAGTTTATTAAAGAGGAACAATGAGATAGTTTAGTCATCTGATAAAAATGCCATACTATCAACTGCCACAGAGAGCCACTCTGAAGAAATATAATGGACACAGAGCAAGGGGGAGATCATGCAGAGGATGGAGTGATGGCATCAATAACAGCCTTGATGAAATGAAGATTAACTAATTCACCACATTGAGAAGAGCACACAAGCGATCGTTACATCTCCTCACCACATTGGAAAGAGCACACTAACAATCCTTACATCTCCTCACCACATTGAAAAGAGCACACAAGTCATCCTTACATCTCCTCAACACATTGGAAAGAGCACACAAGTCATCCTTACATCTCCTCAACACATTGGAAAGAGCACACAAGCGATCCTTACATCTCCTCAACACATTGGAAAGAGCACACAAGCAATCCTTACATCTCCTCAACACATTGGAAAGAGCACACAAGTCATCCTTACATCTCCTCAACACATTGGAAAGAGCACACAAGTCATCCTTACATCTCCTCAACACATTGGAAAGAGCACACAAGCCATCCTTACATCTCCTCAAAACATTGGAAAGAGCACACAAGCGATCCAAACTTCTCCTTAACACATTGAAAAGAGCACACAAGTCATCCTTACATCTCCTCAACACATTGGAAAGAGCACACAAGCGATCCAAACTTCTCCTTAACACATTGGAAAGAGCACACAAGTCATGCTTACATCTCCTCAACACATTGGAAAGAGCACACAAGTCATCCTTACATCTCCTCAACACATTGGAAAGAGCACACAAGTCATCCTTATATCTCCTCAACACATTGAAAAGAGCACACAAGTCATCCTTACATCTCCTCAACACATTGGAAAGAGCACACAAGTCATCCTTACATCTCCTCAACACATTGGAAAGAGCACACAAGTCATCCTTACATCTCCTCAACACATTGGAAAGAGCACACAAGCCATCCTTATATCTCCTCAACACATTGAAAAGAGCACACAAGCCATCCTTATATCTCCTCAACACATTGAAAAGAGCACACAAGCCATCCTTATATCTCCTCAACACATTGGAAAGAGCACACAAGTCATCCTTATATCTCCTCAACACATTGGAAAGAGCACACAAGCAATCCTTACATCTCCTCAACACATTGGAAAGAGCACACAAGTCATCCTTACATCTCCTTAACACATTGAAAAGAGCACACAAGTCATCCTTACATCTCCTCAACACATTGAAAACAGCACACAAGCAATCCTTACATCTCCTCAACACATTGAAAAGAGCACACAAGTCATCCTTACATCTCCTAAACACATTGAAAAGAGCACACAAGTCATCCTTATATCTCCTCAACACATTGGAAAGAGCACACAAGCGATCCTTACATCTCCTCAACACATTGGAAAGAGCACACAAGCCATCCTTATATCTCCTCAACACATTGGAAAGAGCACACAAGTCATCCTTATATCTCCTCAACACATTGGAAAGAGCACACAAGTCATCCTTACATCTCCTCAACACATTGGAAAGAGCACACAAGCCATCCTTATATCTCCTCAACACATTGGAAAGAGCACACAAGTCATCCTTATATCTCCTCAACACATTGGAAAGAGCACACAAGTCATACTTACATCTCCTCAACACATTGGAAAGAGCACACAAGTCATCCTTACATCTCCTCAACACATTGGAAAGAGCACACAAGCGATCCTTACATCTCAACACATTGGAAAGAGCACACAAGTCATCCTTACATCTCCTCAACACATTGGAAAGAGCACACAAGCCATCCTTACATCTCCTCAACACATTGGAAAGAGCACACAAGTCATCCTTACATCTCCTCAACACATTGGAAAGAGCACACAAGTCATCCTTACATCTCAACACATTGGAAAGAGCACACAAGTCATCCTTATATCTCCTCAACACATTGGAAAGAGCACACAAGCGATCCTTACATCTCCTCAACACATTGGAAAGAGCACACAAGCCATCCTTATATCTCCTCAACACATTGGAAAGAGCACACAAGTCATCCTTATATCTCCTCAACACATTGGAAAGAGCACACAAGTCATCCTTATATCTCCTCAACACATTGGAAAGAGCACACAAGCAATCCTTACATCTCCTCAACACATTGGAAAGAGCACACAAGCAATCCTTACATCTCAACACATTGGAAAGAGCACACAAGTCATCCTTACATCTCCTCAACACATTGGAAAGAGCACACAAGCCATCCTTATATCTCCTCAACACATTGGAAAGAGCACACAAGTCATCCTTATATCTCCTCAACACATTGGAAAGAGCACACAAGTCATCCTTACATCTCCTCAACACATTGGAAAGAGCACACAAGTCATCCTTACATCTCCTCAACACATTGGAAAGAGCACACAAGCGATCCTTACATCTCAACACATTGGAAAGAGCACACAAGTCATCCTTACATCTCCTCAACACATTGGAAAGAGCACACAAGCCATCCTTACATCTCCTCAACACATTGGAAAGAGCACACAAGTCATCCTTACATCTCCTCAACACATTGGAAAGAGCACACAAGCCATCCTTATATCTCCTCAACACATTGGAAAGAACACACAAGTCATCCTTACATCTCCTCAACACATTGAAAAGAGCACACAAGTCATCCTTACATCTCCTCAACACATTGGAAAGAGCACACAAGCCATCCTTATATCTCCTCAACACATTGGAAAGAGCACACAAGCCATCCTTATATCTCCTCAACACATTGGAAAGAGCACACAAGTCATCCTTACATCTCCTCAACACATTGAAAAGAGCACACAAGTCATCCTTACATCTCCTCAACACATTGGAAAGAGCACACAAGTCATCCTTATATCTCCTCAACACATTGGAAAGAGCACACAAGCGATCCTTACATCTCCTCAACACATTGGAAAGAGCACACAAGCCATCCTTATATCTCCTCAACACATTGGAAAGAGCACACAAGTCATCCTTATATCTCCTCAACACATTGGAAAGAGCACACAAGTCATCCTTACATCTCCTCAACATTTCAATGATGAAGTAACTGAAGGAAGTGAAGAAAAAAAAAAAATAACTAGGAAGAAAAGTCAAAAGCATGTGAGCAAGAGCAAGATAGTGATACGAGTGGCAATAAAACATAAAGGGATTGTTTCATTACTAACAGCTTACGGCGAGGTCAACGATCACTGAGGAGATGACACATGATTCATTGAATGAACGTGGTCTTATACAGTTAGAGCAACAGTAAACCTACCCTGTCAAGTCCGACTGGTGAAGCGCCCAGATGGGGCAAGATTAACTTTCAGTGAGGAGATGACACATGATTCATTGAATAAACATGGTTTTTTTAATTTAGTGCAATAGTAAACCTACCCTGCCAAGTCCGACTGTGGTGAAGTGCCCAGACTGGGGTGAGGCCATGGCAGCGGCGGCGGCACTGTGCTGGAAGTATGTGAGGCTCTCCTGGGAGTACATGTCCATTGGGACTGGGCCAGTGTTGGTTGAGAACATCCGTGTCAAGGGGGAGCTGGTTGTTGGGTAGGATCCAAAGCCTCCGAGGACTGTCGAACCTGTCAAAGAGAATGGTTCAGTAAAAAACAGGAAAAATCCAAAGCCCACGAGAATTGTCAGTCCGGTCACAGAGAATAGTTCAGTGCCATGAATTCCCTCAGTCCAAGTTTTGAAATGGATTCAAACATGTGAGGGCTATTCCAAAATCAACCTCTGATTGCCTGGTAAAAATAAACCATTTGCCATAGTGACACTGTTCATTGCTTGCAGGTCAGTGGCCTTTTAGCTCACTACACACCAACCTATGGCTGCATGAGTTCAATGCTTCACAAAATGTGGAGAATAAACACTGTCACTGTCACTGTCACTGCCTGTCCCATCAGCTGTAATATTGCTAGTGTAGTTAGTTTTCTCCAAGCAGAAAGTCAAAATGCTCAACTCTGACGTTCCTGAATGTTTTGATCTGTTTCATTCTGCTTCATTCTACCAGTCCCAACTAATCAGTGCAAAATCATAATATACATTTGATGTCCCAGAAATCATCTGGGAGATTCAACTTCTATAGCAATAATGGTGGTTTTGGTCACAGCTATTTTCCTGGTGTTGGTGGTCAGGGCTATTTTCCTGGTGGTGGTGGTCAGGGCTATTTTCCTGGTGGTGGTGGTCAGGGCTATTTTCCTGGTGGTGGTGGTGGTCAGGGCTATTTTCCTGGTGGTGGTGGTGGTTAGGGCTATTTTCCTGGTGGTGGTCAGGGCTATTTTCCTGGTGGTGGTGGTGGTCAGGGCTATTTTCCTGGTGGTGGTGGTGGTCAGGGCTATTTTCCTGGTGGTGGTGGTGGTCAGGGCTATTTTCCTGGTGGTGGTGGTGGTCAGGGCTATTTTCCTGGTGGTGGTGGTGGTCAGGGCTATTTTCCTGGTGGTGGTGGTGGTCAGGGCTATTTTCCTGGTGGTGGTCAGGGCTATTTTCCTGGTGGTGGTGGTGGTCAGGGCTATTTTCCTGGTGGTGGTCAGGGCTATTTTCCTGGTGGTGGTGGTGGTCAGGGCTATTTTCCTGGTGGTGGTGGTGGTCAGGGCTATTTTCCTGGTGGTGGTGGTGGTCAGGGCTATTTTCCTGGTGGTGGTGGTGGTCAGGGCTATTTTCCTGGTGGTGGTCAGGGCTATTTTCCTGGTGGTGGTGGTGGTCAGGGCTATTTTCCTAGTGGTACGCAGTAATGGAACCATACTGGGCATCTTTTGTTTTAGCAATAAAGTTTTCACCAGCAACCTTTTATTCCAGAGTAGTGGAAAGGGGGGGGGGGGGGGGGGGGGGGTTGTAGTAGTAACAGAAGTAGTGGTAGTAATCCTAGTATAATTGTAGTGGTGGTAATAGTAGTAGTAGCATCAGTAGCAGTAGTAGTGGTGTGGTGGTAGTAGTAACAGCAGTTTTCATAGTAATATTAAATAATATCTAAGTTAGCAAAGTTGAAAACAATGAATAGGAACATAGAAAAGAGTCAAATTAGAGACATTAGACACCTACCAATGGTCGGAGCTGTTGTCCGTCCTATCAAGTCCCTGTATAGATGAGAGGCTGTGGCAAGGCTGAGGGCGTTGCTGGTATTGTCGGTACGAGGGGTGATGGAGGGAGGGGCAGGGAGGGCCAAGGGAGATGCCGAAACCAATGGGTTAGCACCAAAATCTGCATAAGCTGCCGCCGGAAGGGCTCGGTCCGTGCCGTTAGTTTCCGGAAGGGGGAGGTAACCATAGCCAGGGACTGGAGATTTGGGGGGAAGAAGAAAAAACAAAAACAGAACAATGAGACAACAGAATGAGCAAAACTGATAATAATGAAAGAGAAAACATGATAATATGGTCTGATACAGGCATTTCCTGTTGCTGACGTAAATACATATCAACATAGTACTGGTGTGCCATTATGTGTCATATCGAACTCAATCTTTTCCTGCATTCCACTCTGTTTAACACATAAGCAGCATATATAGCAGTTTTGGTCAGGTTACTCTGAAATGCCGACTATTCTTGTCTGTCCTACAGTCACATGACCTGTATCTGTCCCACAGTCACGTGACCTGTATCTGTCCCACAGTCATGTGACCTGAGCAGTTGTAGTGGCATAGTGGTCAGGGGCTCAGATGGTTATTTAACATAACCTTGGCTCTCAGGTGGACGTAGCTTAAAAGGGGTTCCAAGTTCACTCCTGGGAGGTCAAGGTGGTCAGTGTGATGTCAACATCATCATCAAGTGCCATATGGTCTAAAAAACTTTGAGTCTGGTATCTTATGCCTGGGGAGCTGCTGTGATTTAGCGGCGAGATGTCTGCCTGCAGATCCAAAGCTGCTGTGATGTAGTGGCTAGATGCCTGCCTGCAGATCCAAAGCTGCTGTGATATAGTGGCTAGATGCCTGCCTGCAGATCCAAAGTTGCTGTGATATAGTGGCTAGATGCCTGCCTGCAGATCCAAAGCTGCTGTGATATAGTGGCTAGATGCCTGCCTGCAGATCCAAAGTTGCTGTGATATAGTGGCTAGATGCCTGCCTGCAGATCCAAAGTTGCTGTGATATAGTGGCTAGATGCCTGCCTGCAGATCCAAAGCTGCTGTGATGTAGTGGCTAGATGCCTGCCTGCAGATCAAAAGCTGCTGTGATACAGTGGCTAGATGCCTGCCTGCAGATCCAAAGTTGCTGTGATATAGTGGCTAGATGCTTGCCTGCAGATCCAAAATTGCTGTGATATAGTGGCTAGATGCTTGCCTGCAGATCCAAAGTTGCTGTGATATAGTGGCTAGATGCCTGCCTGCAGATCCAAAGATCATGGGTTCAGGTCCTGACAGAGCCGTATTTTTTTCTTTTCAGAAATGACCTTGGCTCCCAGGTCGACCCAGCCTTGAGTGGCTCCCAGGTCCACCCAGCCTTGAGTGGCTCCCAGGTCGACCCAGCCTTGAGTGGCTCCCAGGTCGACCCAGCCTTGAATGGGTACCAGGTGAAAGTCCTGGGAAGTAAAGGCGGTAAGCATGATGTTTACCACGTCACCCACTGAGTGCCGATTGGTTTCACAAAATGTTGGTCTAGCCCGCTATGCCCAGTAAGCCTAAAGGCATGGAAGAGAGTTCTTTACTTTACTGATCATGTTCCTGTGACGTCATTTGCATGAACAGATGTCTTGACTTTAATTACTGACAATCATGGGTGAAAATTATCTTATGTAAAAAGTCATTTATTTCTCACATCTAGTAACAACATAATAAACTATAAACATGCCATGTTTCAATTTGTTCCAGTAACTCCTTCATAGTCAGGGTAAAGACTTATGGATCACCTCCCATATCTCAATGTCAGAAATAATGAACAGCGACATTACGTTAAACTTATCCTAAATTGTGGCCGTTATTCTTATAATGCAAATGGCCAGATTTGACTCTTTTTGAGACAGCAGAGGTGAAGTCTCTAATGCACATGTTGAGAAAACACTGGATAGCGAAAATAACTAACAATCATTTAAGAGTACAATAATTTGAGAATAATGAAGGCAGTGAGAGTAATTAACAACTGGATGAGAACCCAGTGGACAGTGACAGTAACTAACAATCATTTGGAGAATACTTTGGACAGAAGAAAACTAACAATCATTTGGAGAATACTTTGGACAGAAGAAGACTAACAATCAAATGAGATTACAAAATAGTGGTTTCCTCAGTGAATCAAATAACAGGGACACATACAATAAATGCACAATTCATTTTATCTCAAAAGTTATATCAATTTATGAAGCACAAAATATGACTCCTTTCTACTGAAATACACAAATCACAATGTCTCTGGTTATATTTTACATCTGACATTCAAGATCAGCCATATGATTGTTGTGGAAATTTCAAAATCACCACATGTTCATTTTGTTTGCACAATGTAGGATTGTTCACTTTAATTGTGAGGCTTCTGTCATTTTCAGTAAACTCCTATGGTAAAAAAAAAAAAAAACCACAATTATTATGAACTACATGCTCAGAGTCAAGTAAATGATGTGTCCTACTGAAGAATTATGAAAAGATCAAAACATTAAGGAGGACTGGCTAATAAACAACACTTGTCCAGGAAACTGAAATATTTTGGTCATATCAAGCATTATGGCAGAGTGGAAAAAATAATAGCAGAGATCATGGTACCAGGAAGGAGGGCAGGGGCAAGAACAAGAAGATGGGCAGAGGACATAAGTGATTCCATCATAAGTGCAGGAGGCGGGAGAGCTGGTGAGAGACCAATTTTTGGTTTGTTTTCAGGAAGTCTGTGATGTACTCAGGTGAAGCCAGGATGGCACTATGCAGATATTGTGTACCAAGAAGAAACAAGGACTGGGCAGAACCTAATCTTTATCACCTGTGGCAGAACCTAATCTGTATCAGCTGTGTCAAAGTAAAGTAAAGAACCCTTTGTCACACCTTTTGGCATATAGGGCTAGACCTATATTTTATAAACCAGTCAGTACCAATTGTGTAAATCAATGTAAACATGGACAGCCACCCAAAATTCATCAAAAACAACTGAAACTCCTCTGTGCTGCTTCCTGCATGCTCGTTTATGCTCTAAAGAAATTATAATTGGGACACCCGTAAAGGCTTCACCAACCAGTTTAACCACAGTCTAGTTTTAATAAAGAAAAATAAATGATACTGATATTCATTTTGAAGTACAATGAATTTGTGAAATGTAAGGCACTGAAGATAGATTATTTCTGAATGAGAGACGTTCAACCCCAGCCGGGCAGCTCAGCGAGCGATAAAAACCCAGTGACTCAAAGTGCCACCATTCAGATAAGAATTACCCAGGTACAAGTCCCCAACACCCACTTCAACCGTTAGGTTATATTAGCCCCTCCCCACCCCCTTACCATTACAGCTGGGATGGAGCTTTAAAATAAAGAAAAAATGTGTGTTCCATATTGAGACAGCAACAAACAGTTAATAATGTAGTTAGGTGGTTTCTATGATGATGATGATGACGACTTCACGCCAATCAGGACATAACACAGAGCGATAAACATCTGGTGACACAAACTGCCACCATTCAGATAAAGATAACCCAGGAACAGATCCCACAAACCCTGTTCAACCCACAGGTTGTGTTATTTTAAGCCCCTCCCCCCTCCAGCAAAAGCAGATGAAAGGCTTTAACATAACATGAAATTGCACTCTATACTGGGGCCAGGTTACTAAGTGGTTTCTATAAACAATAAGTCAACTATCAAATGACAGAGAGAACATAAAGATTAGCCAAACACCCCTAAGCTTTTGGACTAGATAACATAATAAAGATGCTTGAAATGATAACATATACAAACTAAGGTAAATGAAATAAACTGTGGGAAATACAGAACTGCCACTACCAAATAAAGATAATTATAATTCTCAAAATGATTCCCTCCCGGAAAGTAAGCAATGCAGGCAACTATAACGTGTATGCAAGAAAAACAAGCATCAATAAAATGTAGTCAGTGAAAGGGAGGCAATACAATACTATTTCTACTGAATGAAGACAATGATTCCCAGCAGTTGAGTTGCCTCCCTTACCGGGTATATGATTGGCCCAGGTCAGGAATGAAGAGTGACACGGATTGGTTGCTCTGGGGACACCTGAAACTGACATCGCAGCAACTATGTGTGGCGATCGTTGCCCGTGAGGGCCCATGGTGCTACCACAAGCAAAGATGGGGGATATATGAGTCACATCTACCGCACCTGCGTAAGCACTTCCAGCAACTGCCACTGCATTGGTGCTCGAGGCTGAGGTCACTCCAACACCGGGTAGCATGGATGGGCCAAGGTTAACTGGGGGAGGAGTGGGGTGTAAGAAAACAGAGGCTAGTGTTGTAGTCGTGTGGTTGAATACATTTTACAGGATATGGTCAGATGATTACAATTATGTAAGTTGGTACATTTGTGTACAGATTAGATATATTTCTTGTTGTGAGTGGGAATCTCGTAGGTGATTGTTTGTTCAGTCTGTGAGAGATGTATGTTGATGACAGTTTGTCTGCTCTGTAAAAAATATATTGTAGATCAAAGATAGTCTAGTCTGTGAGAGAATCTTGTAGATGATGGTTTGTCTAGTCTGTGAGAGAATCTTGTAGATGATGGTTTATCTAGTCTGTGAGAGAATTGTTAGATGATGGTTTGTCTAGTCTGTGAGAGAATTGTTAGATGATGGGTTGTCTAGTCTGTGAGAGAATTGTTAGATGATGGTTTGTCTAGTCTGTGAGAGAATTGTTAGATGATGGTTTGTATAGTCTGTGAGAGAATTGTTAGACGATGGTTTGTCTAGTCTGTGAGAGAATTGTTAGATGATGGTTTGTCTAGTCTGTGAAGAATTGTTAGATGATGGTTTGTCTAGTCTGTGAGAGAATCTTGTAGATGAGGCTTTGTCCAGTCTGTGAGAGAATCTTGTAGATGAGGCTTTGTCCAGTCTGTGAGAGAATCTTGTAGATGAGGCTTTGTCCAGTCTGTGAGAGAATCTTGTAGATGAGGCTTTGTCCAGTCTGTGAGAGAATTGTTAGATGATGGTTTTTCTAGTCCATGAGAGAATCTTGTAGATGATGGTTCGTCTAGTCTGTGAAAGAATATTGTAAATGATGGGTTGTCCAATCCATTAGAGAATCTTGTAGATGATAGTTTGTCCGGTCCGCGAGAGAATATTGTAGATGATAGTTTGTCCAATCCATTAGAGAATCTTGTAGATGATAGTTTGTCCGGTCTGTGAGAGAATTTTGTAGATGATAGTTTAAACAGTCTGTGAGAGAATATTGTAGATGATAGTTTGTCCAATCTGTGAGAGAATATTGTAGATGATAGTTTGTCCAGTCTGTGAGAGAATACTGTAGATGATAGTTTGTCCAGTCTGAGTGAGTAGAGTGGTCTCTGTATAAGGTTTGGGTACCACATCAGAGACAGCTGTGGATAAAGTAGCAGCAAGTGGATACAACAGACTAATACCTGTTGGATACGTTATGTAGCCGGGGTGGCTGGCCAGAGCCGGAAAAGCTGCTCGTCCATAGGGAGCCGCTGCAGGGAAACTGGGGAATCCAGGATGCATGTAACCTGAAACAGGTCATTGATTTGTGTGAGTGTGTGTGTGTAAGAGAGAGAGGGTGTGTATATGTATCTGACTGTGTGTGTGCAAGAGAGAGAGAGTGTAGGTTAGTGTGTGTGTGTCTGTGTGTGTAAGAGAGAGAGAGTGTGTATGTGTATCTGACAGTGTGTGTGCAAGAGAGAGAGAGTGTAGGTTAGTGTGTGTGTGTGTGTGTGTGTGTGTGTGTGTGTGTGTGTGTGTGAGCATGTATGTGTGTGAGCTAATGTATATGTGCATGTGAGTATATATGTGTGTGTGTGTGTGGACAGGTACATGTGTGTGTGAGTATAAGTGTGGGTGGGTAAATGTGAGTGTGTGTATGTGAGTGTGGGCATATGTATATTATGTGAGCGGGTGTAAGCGCATGCACATGTGTGTATGTGAGTCTGTGCGAGCAATTGAACAAGTATCCATATGCCTAAGCATGTGTGTATGTGTGTGGATGTATATATGATGGAGAAAGAAACAAAAAACTCACATATCTCTGGCAAGAGAGCCTCCTCGCCGATCAAGTCTGTGTAAAATATTGTTCCATCTTCGGTGACTGCAGAAATATGGGCCAAAAAAAAAAAAATTGGTTGAAATGGTGAAACATAGCACATGATGATGATGGACAGTTGACACTACAATGGCGGTCTTTGTTTGCTAAATGAAAACAACCCTTTCCTTTTCAGTAAATATGTTCAATAAAGGTGCAACCATTGTGATACAGAGATCACATGACTGTGGTAGAGAGATCACATGATTATGGTACAGAGATTACATGAATGCTGTATACAGATTACATGATTGTGGTAGGGAGATCACGTGATTGTGGTACATAGATCACATGATTGTGGTACAGAGATCACATAATTGTTGTACAGAGATAACAGGATTGTGGTACAGAGATCACATCATTGCAGTATACAGATCACATGATTGTGGTACAGAGATCACATGATTATGGTACAGAGATGACATGATTGTGGTAGAGAGATCACACGATTGTGGTACATAGATCACATGATTGCAGTATATAGATCACACAATTATGCTACAGAGATTACATGAAATCAGTATAAAGATCACACGATTGTGGCAGGGATATCACATGATTGTGGTACATAGATCACATGATTGCAGTATATAGATCACATGATTATGGTACAGAGATCACATGATTGTGGTACAGAGATCACATGATTATGGTACAGAGATCACATGATTATGGTACAGAGATGACATGATTGTGGTACAGAGATCACATGATTGTGGTACAGCGATCACATTATTATGGTACAGAGATCACATGATTATGGTACAGAGATCACATGGTTATGGTACAGAGATCACATGATTGTGGTGCATAGATGACATGATTATGGTACAGAGATGACATGGTTGTGGTACAGAGATCACATGATTATGGTACAGAGATGACATGATTGTGGTACATAGATCACATGATTGCAGTATATAGATCACATGATTATGGTACAGAGATGACATGATTGTGGTACATAGATTACATGATTGCAGTATATACATCACATGATTATGGTACAGAGATGACATGATTGTGGTACATAGATCACATGATTGCAGTATATAGATCACATGATTATGGTACAGAGATGAAATGATTGTGGTACAGAGGTCACATGATTATGGTACAGAGATGACATGGTTGTGGTATATAGATCACATGATTGCAGTATATAGATCACATGATTATGGTACAGAGATGACATGGTTGTGGTACAGAGGTCACATGATTATGGTACAGAGATGACATGGTTGTGGTACATAGATCACATGATTGCAGTATATAGATCACATGATTATGGTACAGAGATGACATGGTTGTGGTACAGAGGTCACATGATTATGGTACAGAGATGACATGGTTGTGGTACATAGATTACATAATTGCAGTATATAGATCACATGATTATGGTACAGAGATGACATGATTGTGGTACATAGATCACATGATTGCAGTATATAGATCACATGATTGTGGTACAGAGATCACATAATTGTGGTACAGTGATCACATGATTGTGGTACATAGATGACATGGTTGTGGTACATAGATCACATGATTGTGGTACAGAGATCACATGATTATGAAACAAAGATCACATGATTGTGGTACAGAGATCACATGATTATGGTACAGAGATCACATGGTTATGGTACAGAGATCACATGGTTGTGGTACAGAGATCACATGGTTATGGTACAGAGATCACATGGTTGTGGTACATAGATCACATGATTGCAGTATATAGATCACATTATTGTGGTACAGAGATGACATGATTGTGGTACATAGATTACATGATTGCAGAATATAGATCACATGGTTATGGTACAGAGATCACATGATTGTGGTACAAAGATCACATGACTGTGGTATAGAGATCACATGATTGTGGTACAGAGATCACTTGATTGTGGTGCACAGATGACATGGTTGTGGTACAGAGATCACAGGATTGTGGTACAGAGATCACTTGATTGTGGTACAGAGATGACATGGTTGTGGTACAGAGATGACCTGGTTGTGGTACAGAGATGACAGGATTGTGGTGCACAGATGAGATGATGAGGTACAGAGATCACATGATTGTGGTACAGAGGTCATATGATTGTGGTACAGAGATGACATGATTGTGGTACAGAGATGACATGATTGTGGTACATTGGCCACATGATTGTGGTACAGAGATTACATGGCACTTGAGAATAAATCCAATGGAACCACGGAGATCACAGGACACTAGAACATAGCACAGATGTGATGTAATTTACCTATAGCACCTCTGGTAAACCCGCGACCTCTGACCTGTGTGTTTGTAGGGGCCATGACCTCCTTGGGCTGAGCCTTCTTGCACTCAACCTGTGACACAGACCACACACCTGCTGTTAGTTCCATGCCTTTAGGCATACTGGGCTAGACCTATATTTTATAGACCGATCGGCACTTGGTGGATGTGGTCATCATCTCACTGGCCGCCTTTACTTCCCAGGATTGCGCCTGGTACCCACTCAAGGCTGGGTCAATCTGTGAACCCAAGACCGCTGCTGGTGTTGGCTAAAAATGACATGAAATATCACTGCAATTGTCCCAGAGAGCTCACAGAGCGAGCTCACAGAGGGAGCATACGAAGGGAGCTTATATATAGAGCTCACAGAGGGAGCTCATAGAGGGAGCTCACAGAGGGAGCTCATAGAGGGAGCTCATAGAGGGAGCTTATAGAGGGAGCATACAGAGGGAGCTTATATAGAGAGCTCACAGAGGGAGCTCATAGAAGGAGTTCATAGAGGGAGCTCACATATAGAGGGAGCTCATAGAGGGAGCATATAGAGAGCTGAAACAGGCAGCTGAAAAACAGAGCACATATACAGTGCACACAGATAGCTTACTTAGAGTGCACATACAGAGAGCACACACATACAGCACATACATATATGACACACACACAGACAGCATACATACAGAAAGCACACACAAAGAGCACATGAAGAGACAGGACACATACAGGAATATCATACACAGAGCACATACACAAACAGAAAACACATACAACGAGCACATACACAGACAGCACACATACAAATAGCTCACACAGACAGCACACACAGAGAGGGCACACAAACAGAAAGCACATACAACGAGAACATACACAGACAGCACACACAGAGAGGGCACACAAACAGAAAACACATAAAACGAGCACATACACAGACAGCACACATACAAATAGCTCACACAGAGAGCACATACAGAGAGAGCACACAAACAGAAAGCGCACACAAACAGAAAGCACACACAGAGAGCACATGCAGATAGCAGTTACATAGTTTATGCAGAAAACACACACACACAACATCACATACAAACAGCAAACATACAGAGAGTGCCTATACATCGAGCATACACACAAACACACACACACATATAGAGAACACATCCAAACAAACGGGCTCACCATTTTGCTGTTGATCTCATGGAAGTGTATCTCCACTACCTGCTCCACGACCTCCTCCGACTCGAATGTGATGAAACCAAAACCTGAAGGGGGAAACATGGAGTGGGTGGCAGGGGCACAAGGACAGAGAATACACTCATTATTCCATTACTGTTGTATATACTCCACCCCACCCCCCCTTCTATCCCCACTCATCATCGGTGACCGAGTCTCCCATTGACTAGCCGGTTAACGACTTTGTCAGTGCCCTGGGCAGTATTTGTGTCTGTCTCCTTCGATCGTAACAGCACTACAGGAGTCCTATTCAGGGCTTTGGGTGGCATGCAATGTTAAGCAATTGTATATGGCGCACACAGCCTAGTCATAATTATAACCTAGTCAAAATATAACCTAAAGCTCTTCATTCAGGGATAGTGGTTGAACGTCTCAATTCCCCCCTTCCCCACCCCCAATCAACCTCACCCCCCCCCCCCAGCTACAACCACCAATACTTCTGCAGCTGCTACTAGTACTACAATGAATGCTTTACTTTGTCTGGCTCACGCTACATTAGTAACAGGAACGAGTTATATTTTAGAATAATAATTCTTATTCTTCTTCAGAATTCTGCGCCCTTGAGGTTCATTGCTGCAGATATCACCTGCCTCTATTCATCTCTCTGGTTGGCCCTCTATTTCCAGTTGGTGACACCAAGTGTTTGCAGGTCTGTTTGGATATTATCTCTTCATCGTGTTCTTGGTCTGCCTCGTGGTCTAGTTTTTACTTCTCTGTCATCTGACATTCTTTCAATATGTCCCAACAATTTAAGTCTGTTAGTTCTCATGATGCCAGTGATCAGTGGTGATTTAACAGATTATGAATTTTGTTGTTGCTTCTCACTCTCCATTCACAGCTGTTTGCATCTTTGATGGGTCCAAAGATTCGTTGTAAGACCTTGTGTCAGCTTGGTCCTCTAGGTTGGGGGTTGAAGCGTGGGACCGACACCCCCACCTGCGTAAAACTTTATCCTGTCATGAAACAGAATAATAAATAATAATAATTATTATTAAAAATGACCGAGACGTTCCGCTGTTGCGGACGAGAGTGTACTTCAAGGAGACACCGGAATCTAACAAGACTTGTTCGAGTTAGCAGCGTGAGATTTCCGGACCATTATTATCATCACATGTCTCCGACATGTTTCTCCTCAGCCGCTCCGATTTTGACCTGCACGTCATTTTTTTCTTATTCGTCCAAACTCTTTTTCTGACCTCCCCCCCCCCCTCTCGTCCCTACCCTTTCTCTCCCTCCCTCTCTCTCTCTCTCTCTCTCTCTATCTCTATCTCTCTCTCTCTCCCATGCAGTGCGACCCATGGCCTCCTTTGAACACGAATCTACCTCAAAACTTGTATCATTCATGTCTCGTCTGCATATATCTTTTTATCGCACTACATATGACGATGGTGAACATTTCACATAACAATGGCGTTTGCTGCTCTGTGACAACAACAACCCTTTCGTCTCCGTAAATACTGGCTGCACATTCCCATCTGGGATTCATCATAGTTTGATAAAGGAAGGTTTTCCTGTTCTCCTATACTCTTTTCATGAATCCGTTAGCTCACTGTTTTTACGACCTTACCCGTCCTTATGATGGTTTCTTCGTCCACTGATTGTTTTTGCCTAGTTTCTTGGTCAACTGATAGTTTGTTATTGCTCGGTTTCTTGGTTCACTCATAGTTTGTTTTAGCCTAGTTTCTTGGTCCTCCGATAGTTTGTTATTGCCCGGTTTCTTGGTCCAGTGATTGTCATTGCTCGAGGGAGAGATCAAGATGACTGAACCCTACAGTTCCCCCTCTCTAAACAAGTCCCACAAGTATCCCGCCCTCTGATCGTCTACCCACAGATACTCTGCAGGACAACGATGAAGCAGATGCAGCTACGAGCCTCCTTTGGGTCATGGAATTCTCCAAATGCAGAGCCTCACAGACGAGAAATCAAAACCAACATCCTCTAAATAATCTGATGATTTGTCCGTCCGAAGCAATGTCCGTGGAAAAAAGACAGATTAGGCAAAGCTGTTTCATCACCAAGGCAGGGGGAGATCATTTCCAAGTGAAGACATTGCCCGTTGAAGATGTAGCGGATCAATACCACTCGTTACGATTTCAAACGAGGATTTGTTATTTCTCCACAGGCCTAGATTCGCCCCCCCCCCCCCCCCCCCACCAACGGAATGTTTCACCTTTACTTAACGGAATTTGCTTTTCACTTTATACACTGGCGTTGGCTTTTCCTCCACAAATTAGAATTTATTTGTTCCTTCCGTCACTGCGATTTGTTTTCCCCATATCAGCGCATATTTGCCATGTGCACAAGCCTAATATCATCATTCCACCTGTCTTGTTGTTTATGTCACATCAGGCTGGCAACGAATCTTCAGTTCCATTCTAACCTGGTCTCTCTCTCTCTCTCTCTCTCTCTCTCTCTCTCTCTCTCTCTCTCTCTCTCTCTCTGTGTGTGTCTTTTTATCTCCAGTATCTATACTTCAGTCAGACACGTCTGGTCTCTCTCTCTTTTTCCAGTATCTGGACTTAAGTCGTACACGTGTGGCCTTTCTCTCTCTCTCTCTCTCTCTCTCTCTCTCTCTCTCTCTCTATCTGTCTCTCTTTTTCCAATATCTGGACTTAAGTCGTACACGTGTGGCCTCTCTCTCTCTCCAGTGTTTGGACTTCAGTCGGACACGTCTGGTCTCTCACACACTCTCTCTCTCTCTTTCTTTTTCTCCAGTATCTGGACTTCAGTGAGACAAGCGTGGTCTCTCTCTCTCTCTCTCTTTCTCTCTCTCTCTTTCTCCAGTATCTGGACTTCAGTCGGACACGTCTGGTCTCTCTCTCTCTCTCTCTCTCTCTCTCTCTCTCTCTCTCTCTCTCTCTCTCTTTCTCCAGTATCTGGACTTCAGTCGGACACGTGTGGCCTCTCTCTTTCTCCAGTATCTGGACTTCAGTCGGTCACGTGTGGCCTCTCTCTCTTTAGTGTCTGGACTTCAGTCGGACACGCGTGGCCTCTCTCTCTCTTTCTCTTTTCAGTGTTTGGACTTGAGTCGGACAAGTGTGGCTTTTTAAAATTAACATGGTGGGGGGGGGGGGGGGGGGGGGGGGGGGAGAAGGCTTATTATTAGCTATTAGTAAGAGATTTTTCAGCTCCAGTTTCTTTGCACAGTACTACCTTAGATATTCTGCGTGGTTGTCACTGGCGTGGAACAATATTAGATATTCTGTATGGTTGTCACTGGCGTGGAACAATATTAGATATTCTGTCGTGGTTGTCACTGGCGTGGAACAATATTAGATATTCTGCGTGGAACCATATTAGATATTCTGTATGGTTCTCACTGGCGTGGAACAATATTAGATATTCTGTATGGTTGTCACTGGCGTAGAACAATATTAAATATTCTGTCGTGGTTGTCACTGGCGTGGAACAATATTAGATATTCTGTATGGTTGTCACTGGCGTGGAACAATATTAGATATTCTGTGTGGTTGTCACTGGCGTGGAACAATATTAGATATTCTGTGTGGTTGTCACTGGCGTGGAACAATATTAGATATTCTGTATGGTTGTCACTGGCGTGGAACAATATTAGATATTCTGTCGTGGTTGTCACTGGCGTGGAACAATATTAGATATTCTGTATGGTTGTCACTGGCGTGGAACAATATTAGATATTCTGTATGGTTGTCACTGGCGTGGAACAATATTAGATATTCTGTTGTGGTTGTCACTGGCGTGGAACAATATTAGATATTCTGTATGGTTGTCACTGGTGTGGAACAATATTAGATATTCTGTATGGTTGTCACTGGTGTGGAACAATATTAGATATTCTGTCATGGTTGTCACTGGCGTGGAACAATATTAGATATTCTGTATTGTTGTCACTGGCGTGGAACAATATTAGACATTCTGTATGGTTGTCACTGGCGTGGAACAATATTTGATATTCTGTATGGTTGTCACTGGCGTGGAACAATATTAGATATTCTGTATGGTTGTCACTGGCGTGGAACAATATTAGACATTCTGTATGGTTGTCACTGGCGTGGAACAATATTAGATATTCTGTCGTGGTTGTCACTGAAATATTAGATATTCTGTATGGTTGTCACTGGCGTGGAACAATATTAAATATTCTGTCGTGGTTGTCACTGGCGTGGAACAATATTAGATATTCTGTATGGTTGTCACTGGCGTGGAACAATATTAGATATTCTGTATGGTTGTCACTGGCGTGGAACAATATTAGATATTCTGTATGGTTGTCACTGGCGTGGAACAATATTAGATATTCTGTATGGTTGTCACTGGCGTGGAACAATATTAGACATTCTGTATGGTTGTCACTGGCGTGGAACAATATTAGATATTCTGTCGTGGTTGTCACTGAAATATTAGATATTCTGTATGGTTGTCACTGGCGTGGAACAATATTAAATATTCTGTCGTGGTTGTCACTGGCGTGGAACAATATTAGATATTCTGTATGGTTGTCACTGGCGTGGAACAATATTAGATATTCTGTATGGTTGTCACTGGCGTGGAACAATATTAGATATTCTGTATGGTTGTCACTGGCGTGGAACAATATTAGATATTCTGTATGGTTGTCACTGGCGTGGAACAATATTAGATATTCTGTCGTGGTTGCCACTGGCGTGGAACAATATTAGATATTCTGTCGTGGTTGTCACTGGCGTGGAACAATATTATATTTTCTGTATGGTTGTCACTGGCGTGGAACAATATTAGATATTCTGTATGGTTGTCACTGGCGTGGAACAATATTAGATATTCTGTCGTGGTTGTCACTGGCGTGGAACAATATTAGATATTCTGTATGGTTGTCACTGGTGTGGAACAATATTAGATATTCTGCGTGGTTGTCACTGGCGTGGAACAATATTTGATATTCTGTATGGTTGTCACTGGTGTGGAACAATATTAGATATTCTGTATGGTTGTCACTGGCGTGGAACAATATTTGATATTCTGTATGGTTGTCACTGGTGTGGAACAATATTAGATATTCTGTCGTGGTTGT